AAAAAAAATTGCTTAGATATTAGAATTATATAGAGAGAGTTTACCCTCATTCAGCTTGAAGAGCACATCATATTTTAAATTGGATATTCCCAGACTGACAAACTGGTTTATAACGGTGCATTGTCCTTTGCTTGTTCAACAAGTAAGTGATCTTTGATGAGCACACAGCAGAACATCTCAGACACAGTTAATTCTAGATCTCTGCCAGGGTACAATGAATCTAGGGTGTTTCTGTTATTGGTTCATCCACCCACTCATCACTCACTCACCTGTCACACACTCATCCATTCTCTGTGAAATGATTGAGGACTCCCTACCTGGCAGGAACTGCTGGTGGTGAATGTAACAAGCTCAGCCTTTACCTTCAGGGAGTTTAAAATTGAGTGGAGCACAAAAGGAATAAGACAAGTGTCAGAAAAATTGCAAGTGTGCTAAACTTTACTAATGGCATGTGATTCTATGAGAGCTTATGAGAAGGAAATTGAAATTTGACCTCAGCTGAGAGGTGAGGGAATGCTTCCAGCAGGAGGGGCTGATCATGCTGAGATCAGAAGCACAGGCAGGAGTTGGCCACTGCAGAAAGAAAGGCACCATCCCGGGGCAGAGAAGATGACCTTTGAGGTCTCTGTGATGGAAAGGAAGGAGGCACAGAAGAGGCAGCCTCAGGGCTGCAATAGAGAGGGTGGGGAGGTAGAGTGGAGAGGACCAGCAAGGCCTTTGGGGTGACTGCCCAGATGGGAAAGGTGGGCCACAGGTAAGACCATGTGAAAATGGGGACTGGGGGAAACCCTGGAGAGAGGAAGCAACGTGGTCCCCAGAGAGAGATGGGATTCTAGATGGATCTGAAATACCAATCTTATTCCATCCTGGGGGCCTCAGACTCAGGATGATGAGTAGAAAAGTAAGAGCCTGGGAAGCCCTGGCCCCAACCCAAAAAGATAGCCTGGAGGAAAGACCAGAAAGTAAAAAAGAGACATCTGAGGCCCTGTGACCAGTCCAGGCCTAGCTAGAACTGCCTGTGGAGGCACCTGGCACAGACTGAAGCTCACACTGCCAGGACCCATTGGGCTTCCAAGATTCTCAGTGCTGAGAACCCTGCCAAGGACGCAGCTGAGTCTGGGATTGGGGAGGAGGGCAGAGCCTCCCCTGCCTTTATACTCAGAGAGGAGATGGCTGTGCAGTACTGTGGGGTCACTGCTGGCACAGAAGTACACAGATGTCTGAGAGGGTTCACCTGACTCCAGCATGAGGGAGAAATCATCAGTGTTTGATGTGGAGATGCTGTAACCATCAGGGACTTCTCCTTTGCCAGTGCTACCCGCTGTATTTAGATGAGCATTAGCCCCAATCCTAGATCTTGCCTATACCAGTACATGGCATTATGTCTCATATCCTGGTACATCTCAGTGTCACTCTCCATCCTGCTGTCAGGATCTGAGATTTTGGAACCTGGGTGATGCCAGCAATCACTGGACCTGAAGAGAAGGAGAACAAAGCCCATGCTGCAGCCCCAATGGGAAGGCCCTGGGCCTTGAAATCCATGCAGGAGCCCTGCCCAGGACCCATCTGCCCACAGGAGACAAAAGGCCGCACAGCACAGGAGGCTGATGCTCATGGCAGGTGCTGCAGGAGGGAGGAGTCTTCTGGGTCTGTGTGTTGGTGAAACGGGAACAGGGCTCTCAAGGGAGTCATTCTGAGACCTCATTCTCCCTGCCTGCGCCCCAGAGCCTTCTGGTCGACAGAGGCCATGCCCCTTCCCCAGAGGGTCAAATCCAAAATAAATGTACCAGTGAAATTTTGATGGGAAGAATGCTTCTTTTTTTTGTTTTGTTTTGTTTTGTTTTGTTTCTTGCTCACTGTTTTTGAGTTATAACCCTTCCATGCAGCTCATTTTTGCTTCTTTTTTAATTGCATTTTAGGTTTTGGGGTACATGTGAAGAACATGCAAGATTGTTGCATAGCCTTCCTCCCCTTCACTTATATCTGGCATTTCTCCCCATGCTATCTCTCCCCAACTCCCCACCCCCCCCACTGTGCCTCCCCCATTTCCCCCCAACAGACCCCAGTGTGTGATGCTCCCCTCCCTGTGTCCATGTGTTCTCATTGTTCAACACCCTCCTGTGAGTGAGAACATGCAGTGTTTGATTTTCTGCTCTTGTGTCAGTTTGCTGAGAATGATGGTTTCCAGGTTCATCCATGTCCCTACAAAGGACACGAACTCATCGTTTTTGATGGCTGCATAATATTCCATGGTGTATATGTGCCACATTTTCCCTGTCCAGTCTATCATCGATGGGCATTTGGGTTGGTTCCAGGTCTTTGCTATTGTAAACAGTGCTGCAATGAACATTCGTGTGCATGTCAAGAAGAATGCTTCTTGACACACGCCTTACAAATTTTGCTTGACCTTTATGCAAACAGTTTGTAATTCAATGTAAATTTTATTCCTGCAATAATATAATTCCTCATTAATACACTGGTGTTAGTTATCTATGTACTGCTGTAGTCTAGAATCTTAGAGAAAATCCTCATGTCTTCCTGGTGTTTTTGACTCCTGTGTCCCACATACTCCTTCAAGTATCCTTTTCTAATTTGCTTAATTGACCATAATCCTGTTGAAGTCCTGTGCCAATCTTGGTTTTCTGTCATCAGGTCTCCAAATCCCAGGGGCAGGCTCATCAACATTGGAGGAGTCATTTTGCTCTGTTTCTTGTCAATTCACTGACAGATGGGACTCCCAACAAGCTCAGTTGAGCACCTTCAGCTTCACCCAGGGCTCTTGCTTTCTGTCTCCAGGGTGAGACCGCAGCAGGCAGAACCACCTCACACTGGTGAATGCCCTCTCTGTGTGGACGATGGTGGCCACCCAGAGTTGCTGAAGACCCTGTGGGCACAAAGGCATCCTGATGAGTGAGGAACTTGGGGAGAGGGAGAAGACTTCAGAGTAAGAAAGAATCTCTGGTTTTATTTGCAGTGTCATGTTTCTTAGGGAATGTGTACCTTCGTGCAGGATTCCTGCCATTAATTTAGCAATAAATGAAAAGGAGCTCAAAAACTGTATCTTCGGTGCACAGAGCCCCGTGTTTGGAAGGACCCCACGCTTGGTTTATCACTCTGCTGTCATGATTTTTAAGTTCTTAACAGTGTTTGTGCAAAAGGACCTGCCAGTAAGTCATGTCCCTTGTTGGAAATATACCATTTTGTGTCATATTCTGCTCACCTCCCCCTGTGCTGTTTCCTTTCAGATCACATGACCAGGGTCTGTCTGGTCATTCAGGATCTTTGGGGCTTAGTAGTGAAGGACACAGAAATTAAAGTCACAGCTAAGAGCTACCTGGTGCAGAAAGTCACAGCTGAGATCCAACAAGCCCATGAATGGGTTTCATGTCTATGCCCAGGACTCCTGTGGTTCAAGAGACAGAAACACACAACTCAGCATCCTGGGATCCTGGTGCCCAGGACAGGGCCAGAACAGGAAGATGAATTCTAGATGAAGGCTCAGGATTTATGGGTTAAACACTTGGGGTTAAGGCAAAGAGACCCCTTCTCCCAATGTGACCTCATCTCTCAGCAAAGTCACTATTACCACGGTTTGCTCGACCCCAGCGTTCGCAGTGTGTGAACACAAAACCAGCTGCATGCGTGTCCTATGGGAACTCAAAATAATTTCCTTGGAGATTATTAACTTTTATCAGGATATCATTATTAAATACTTTGAGTTAATGAGTGTATAAGAAAGGAAATGAATTAAAATGAATAAATAAACTTTGTAGAATCAGCTTCTACCAGCTGAAAAGATCTTTTGAGGTTATTTCAGCACAACGACCATCTCCAGATATAGTTGTCCCTACCATGGATCAAGGTAGCTCTCAAGGTTTCAACCCCTCCTAAAACCATAAAACCTTCCAGGAACTCCTCCCTGCCTTGATTATTTAGCTATGTATTCAAGAGGATTACTCAGTAGTGGTTTTAAACCAACATTAAAAATATTTGTGAACAAAACCACCCTCCAGTGACAGAAATCACGTCATTGGTTTTCTGAGACCAAGAGAGGCATTGCAGAGGTGTGGGTTGTAAAGATAGTCTACATTTTAATAGGGTGGGGATTATAAGGTCATATACACATATATTGCTCAAAAATCACTGACCTGTTCATTTAAAGTGTATAATGTTTACATTGTGTAATTCATATATCAATAACATTGATTTTAAAATGTCTCAAGAGGGATACATACTGCATTTAATTTCATCAAATAAATCATCAGAGGAAGTGTATATTAACATTTCTGTGACTTCTGAATCCTCAACCTAAGATTTCTAGGTATAATATGTCTGTATCTGCCTTTGCACATTCACATGGTGAAAGAGGCTATCTGAGATTATCAAAGGAAATCAAAATATTATGTTGGTGCAAAACTATTGCAGTTCTTGCCATTAAAAGTAATGGCAAAAACCGCAATTTGTTTTGCAGTAACCTAATGTCTAGATTTCTGCTACATGCTAATACTTAGTGCTATTCAATTTTGTATACAGCCCTGCAGATGGACAGTAACAGTCTCATTTCATAGATTTAAAAAAAAAAAAAAAACTAAATCAGATCTGTCAGGAACTGGCCTCAGGTCTTGAGGAGCTGGTGTTAGAATGGAAATCACGGTGCCCATTCATGGTTCTTTCCCTCCGCCACTCTCTCCAGGGTAAACTGATCTCTGTCCATGATGTCAGTAGAGTCAGCAGGTCTGAAAGGGACATAGGGGACAACATTGGAATTTTTTTGAAGATAGGCATCATTTGTTATGAAATGGATTCTAGTATATCACTATAAATACAGGGCTTTGCTAAACCAGGGTTAGAGTCCTAGTACTGCACCCTAATTCCTATTTAATTTGGCCAAGTAATTTAAACTATGGGCCAATTCCTCCACCTGTGAAATGAGAGTAGCAGTTGCATGTTAAGATATTTTCTGATAGCTGAATTTCTAATTAATTGAAATTTTTCTAATGAACGCTTTCTATTTTGTGTTTAATGACAATAAATGATCAGATTAATATTTTTTCTAAGTCTTCTCCATGAAGCAGAATTGAACTGTGAATGTGCATTAATGTACTCAGTGCTTGTACTTCTGCAAAGGATTCTGCCAGCCATATGACAGGTGGCTTCATAGAAACAGTCAAATATGGCACATTTTATGCTTCAGAACTTAAACATGCTATATGCCTACAATGAAGTATTTTTAAACATTTTAAAAGAAGAAAATCCAGCCATATATGGCAATGTGGATAACCCTGCAGGACATTATGCTAAGTGAATAAGCCAGGCACAGAAAGACAAATACTGCATGATTCTGCTTATGTGATGGAACCTAAATAATCAAACTAATAGGAAGCAAAGATGAAGGTAATTTCCAAGGGCTGCGGATTGGTGTAAATGGAGAGTTGCTGTTAATGTGTACACAGTGTCAGTTAAGCGGATGAATAAGATCTAGAGATTGCTGTACAACCCTTTGCCTGTAGATTACAATACTGTAATGCACATACCAAAATGTGTTAAAAAGATAGATTTCAAATTACATATTCCTACTACAATTAAATTAAAAGACTATCTTAAAAGGGACTACTTAAAGACAGAAAAAAAGTAAATTTGTATAATTTAGAAATCAGTAAATTATTTTAATAAGGAAAACAACTTTTAAAATAAATGCAAATCTTAACACTCTAAAAAGCAAGAAACTTTTTTTCACATAATTTTTTTCCTTTTCATGTCACAGAATATCTTTTACAAAGAAGGATCCTCAAAAAGTTTATTGAATAAAATAATAAGATTCACAAATGAATAACAACAATTCATGTTCATTTTCCTCAAGGTGTATTATATCAGTTACAGAAAGTCCACAGTGCAGAAAATTTTCTTTCTTTTTTTTTCCTACAATGGAGAATGAATGTATATGCTTGACCTAAAAGTTCCTTGGGCTTGTCAGGGAAGAGATTTTAATGACCACATATGAGACATGACCTTCCCCTCCTGCTAACAGAGATCTGAAATGAGGAAGCCAGAGAAGAGGACAGATGTGCAGAGCAGGTGGGTGTCCAGAGGTGTTGAAGGAACCAGTACAGCCAGTTACTAAACATGATACCAGGGACAGCTGCTTCCCTGTAGATGTACAAACAGGTAAAATAATATTCACTCTGCCTGATACCTGTGAGTATTAAAGCAGATCAGAGAGTGCCTAGGAAAGACCTGTCAGCTCCGCAGGGCCTGAGACCCTCTGTCTGGCAGCACCCCCTCACAGTCACTTCCTGAGTGGGACAGGAATGTTCCTGGCATTCCCTGGCAACTGGGGGACTGGCCTTTCCCAGTTGCTCTCCCTGCAGGTCACCTCTGCCTGCTCTACGCATTGGCAGACCCCAGGCTCTGCTGCTTCCTGCACCATTCCTGTCCTACACAACCATGAAATAAAAAGTGGGGCGGGTAGAACACAGTCCCCACATGGCACATGGCACCTTTTCTCTGACAACCCCTGTGCCTTTCCTGACACTGATTCCCAGTCCTTGGCACCCCAGCCCCTTCACCCTCTGCTCCCATGGAGAGGCAGAGACACTCCCTGCTTGGTGCAAACTGAGGCCCCTATATCCCTATCTTCCCCTGGACAGTCCCAGGACCTACTCTGAATTCAAACCACCACCAGATGCCAGCAGGCAGCCATGCATTCCCTTCAGCCTGCCTCTCCTGGGTCACCCTCCACCCCTCCCCAGGATTCCCCATAGCTTTGTGGAGCCACAGAGCCTCCAAGTGGCCAATGTTCATAGTCTCACAGA